AAGAGCGGCACTGAAATCTAAAGGCGCATTGGAGTAGCCAAAGTTGCCTTCCAAAAGTTAAGCAGTGTATTAAGAAACAGAAAAACTTCGTTAGAAACAAATAAAAAGGTATTGAACTCTTGCGTAATATCAGTGCTCTTATATAGTAATGAATGTTGGACAATCTCCTCACAGATGAAGAGACTTCAAGCAACATAATTGTGGTTCTACAGAAGGATGCTGAGAATACCATGGACCAAACATGTCAGCAACGCCATAATTTTAGAGAAAATGGAAACAAAAAGGACACTTACATTTAACATCAAAAAGAGATAGTTGAAATTTCTATTGCTCATAATGAGGAAAGCAGGCTTGGAAAATGTTATACTCACAAGTCAGATTTGAAGGCAAGAGGGACAGAGGAAAACAGTGCATAACCTACCTAGCGAGCTGGAGTTAATGGATGGCGGCACAAGGTTTAGGAGAGATAACAAAAAGACAATATTTATTAAGAGCTACAATGGACAGGAAATTGTGGAGAGCTATTATCGGAACACGGTATATAGAAGAAAATTACCGTTGTTTTTACATCCATTGTACGTTAAGAAAACTACAAGATTAAAAAAAAAACGAAGTTAAATACAGCGTTCGTTTTTTCTAACGACAATGAAAGTGACTAAACCCAAAGACTTGTGAGTTCAATACCAGGCCACAGCAGTGGTGAACCAAAATCTTGGAGAGTTGAGTTAAAGGGAAATAGCTGAGACACCCGAAAAAGGCGTGACACGAGTAACTAGAATAATTTACACCAGTGGACGAATTAAATGGTTCGATTCGAAATTCCGAAGACAGAAAGAAGGTCGGAGCGTACAACGACCGAAACGTTGTGAATATGGCAATGAAGATGAGGATAACAGTCCGAATAATGTAAATAATGTAAGTAATCATAATACCTCATCTCAGAGATCCAATCACCAGAAGAAGGCCGGAGATTACAACGGCCGAAACGTTGTGAATATGGCAATGAAGATGAGGATAACAGTCCGAATAATGTAAATAATGCAAGTAATCATATTATCTCATCTCAGTGATCCAATCACTAGAAGAAGGCGGGAGATTACAACGGCTGAAACGTTGTGAATATGGCAATGAAGATGAGGATAACAGTCCGAATAATGTAAATAATGCAAGTAATCATAATACCTCATCTCAGAGATTCAATCACTAGAAGAAGGCCGGAGATTTCCACGGCCGAAACGTTGTGAATATGGCAATGAAGATGAGGATAACAGTCCGAATAACGTAAATAATGTAAATATATAATATCGCACATTACTATAAAAGTTAATTTTATCATAATTTAATCATAATACCTTATCTCAGCGATCCAAACACAAGAAGAAGTCCGAAGAGTACAACGGCCGAAGCGTTGTGAACATGGCAATGAAGATGAAGATAACAGTCCGAATAATGTAAATAATTCTAGTAATTATAATACCACATCTCAGAGATATAAGCAGATATTTAAAATGAAAGAGTTTTTTACATTTGCAAGTACTATATCACTGATGAGGATGTGCTGGTAGCCTAGCCGTTAACGGTGCCTAAGTGGAATCGGCGAACAAATTTCAAATTTTCGAATCAGGCCGTTGCGTTCACTTTCACACTAATAACGTTGAGAAAGGCATGAATCCGACTTTTTCCCTACTCCCAAGGGATAAAAACACGGCAACTGGAAAAACATTTAACATAAACAGAGATATAATGAAAAACACTTTAGCAAGATACGTATAAAACGTAAAGTATCTAATGATCGTATAGCGCCTGCTATGGCGTGTGAATAAGGACCATGATACCAAAATCACTTGAAAATAAACTCAGAAAAGTTTCCATAGATTAATGGACAGGACAAAGCTATGGATAACACTAAAGGACAAAAAGAAGCAATTAGACCAAATTTTTTAAAAATCATATGTCTTCAGGACGTAGGCGGTCATGGCTCTCCACATATTCCCTTTCTTTATTATCTGAGAATTGCTATGCTTCCTTCTTGGGAAAAATAAGTGAGTGGTTTTACATTATCTTCTCCACTGTTTGAAAATTCAGAGACCTCCTTCTTTTAAATTGGTTACCACCCAAGACGAGGAAGCCCAGTCTAGCCTTCTATTTAATCCCTAGCTGTGGGGGGAAGAGACAGATTCATGCCTTTTCCAAGGGTATTAATGTGAAAGTGGACTAGCCCGGAGTTGGAACTCTGATTTCTATATCCGTAAAACCACCCGCACACGCACTAGATGTCTAAAATAAGAGACACCTGAAGATAACCAGAGTGCACATAGCCGAAACGTTTTCTCTAAACGTCTATAAAAAGAAAACGAGTAAAATCGTCCGAACAACACAAAGTATATTTCTAATTATTCATCAAATTTATATAAAACTGTCAGGAGGCTCACGAATCAGTCGTGATAACCATATGTCGAAATCATCTGACATTGCATTTAAAGGCTCCAAAAATACACCACAAATATGATCTAGTAGACACAGTTATTTGTTAAGGTTATGGTCCAGGTTAAGACCAAGGAAGAACAACACGACCACAAGAGTAGAAATAACGAAGGTATATTACACGAAATAATAATACAAGATGTGGAAGATGTTAGTATGACTGTCAGTCTGGTTTGGAGTGAACTACTATCGGCTTGATTCGGTATCTAGCCACCCCACAACGAGGGTTGCATGTGGCACAAGGCCGAGTTTAATGTGGGTTTCCCGAGCCCGTAGGCTCGGCCAAAAAAATGCCCGTAGAACCCGTATAAACGGGATCGGGTTGGTCAACCTCCCCGAACGAGACTCTGCCCTTCGGCGGAGCCTCGTCCGGGTTCCTCTCTGCTCAGAGGCAGAGAGTTCGACCGTCAAGCAGAGAAGCTCGGCTAGATTCGGTATCTAGCCCTCCACCCCACGAGGGTTGCATGTGGCACAAGGCCGAGTTTATCGTGGGTTTCTCGAGCCCGTAGGCTCGGCCAAAAAATGCCCGTATAACCCGTATAAACGAGATCGGGTTGGTCATTTCTCCCCGAACGAGATTCTGCCTTTCGGCGGAGCCTCGTCCGGGTTCCTTTCTGCTCAAAAGCAGAGAGTTCGACCGTCAAGTCGAGAAGCTCGACTTGATTTGTCTCTCTCTCTCTCTTGAGAGGCGTAGTATGCATAGTGTTAGGAAGAGTTCATTCTGTAGTTATAGGTAAGGGCCCATTACAGTTAATTCAGTGCTGCTATCACCTACCGGTCGTGAGTTCAATCCCTTTAATGCTCTATGTAGGAGGGTTTTAATAATGTTAATCTTGCGCTTAGTGGGACAAAAAGAGTCCCAAAGCGTATACAACCCTGCGAAAGTTGGTTTCCTATAAACAGAGGTAAGAAAAATTGTTGATGTTCGATGTACTAATACATCCAAGAAGTCCAATTGAAGATTGGATTCCTTCTCAACAGTGAAACTCAGTGCTGGATGGATACCATTTAGAAAAGAAAGAAAATGATCAGCTTCAACTTCGCTGCTGAATAAACAAAAGGTATCATCGACATACCTACAATACATTTGAGGACACAGTGCATTCTTTCGTATTTTTTCCTCGTGAAAGCCAACAAATATATTAGCCAGTGCCGGACCCAAAGGAAAATCCATAGAAACCACGTCAATCTGTCGAAACATGGTGTTGTTAAAACTAAATTCGACAGAGGACGAGGCAATTTTTTTTTCTTTTTACTCACCTCCACAACTTCCTTTTTATTGTACATTTTCTGTGTTTTAATTTAAATTAAATCTCCCGTTGAAGCCTGAAGAGCGGGAGCGAAACCGGTTGCTTCGCCTGTTTTAATATGTCTAGTAATATTAAGTTTTATATATATATATATATATATATATATATATATATATATATATATAAAAAAAAAGAATATATACAAAGAAAGAAAGAAAGAAATCTTTATGTTTATACATTCTTTTTATAGATACAAAATTTTAAGTAAATAATAAGTAATAATTTTAATAAACAGAATTAATAACATTTACCGGCCTGAATGTCCGAGAAATTTTCATATGCGTCCTCCGACAGGAATCGAACCTGTATTCTATACAGAACCGTCATATAGACTGACGTGCGTTTACTGGTTTCGCCACAGAGGAACGTTTCGGCTTACAAGGTCGATTTTAATGTTTTGAAGCTACAATTTTCGATGATTTTCTCACATACACACATATCTGCTCGATGCGTATTCACATGTAGACAAATGACGTCACAGATTATGAAATGAACAAAGTCCGATAATTATTTTAAGACGCATATTTTCTATGAAATTTTCTCGTACATTCAGGCCAGTAAGTTGTTAATACTGTTTATTATAAAGAGGGCATTTACTTAACACTTTCTCATTAATTAGATGTATCCTGGGAGTTCTACCAGTCTTTCATTCCCTCTTCTTATATAGGCTTTGCTAAGGAAGACTACTCTGCAAGTAATTTTGAACACTTTCTCAATAATTCGAAGTATTCTTGAAGTTCTTCCAGTTTTCCATTCTTTATTCTTATGATTTTTCACGAAACTCTGTAATGCGAAATTAATTTTGTTTTCTTTTCTCCATAAAGACATTCGCCATTCACATCATTTAGTATTTCTTGTGATTCTTCCAATGATTAAATAGATCAGATTAATCATATTTAACAACCAGTATCTTTGTTTAACTCCATATTTATTCAAGACTAATCCCATGAAACAATTTCCGGATTAGTGTTGAATCCGTTCCGATGCCAACATGCTAAGGTATTAATTAGTATAACGCGTTGAAATCCTACTTAGATTTCATGCACCCACCCTCTATTCTTCCTTTCTCTCTCTCTTCCTTGTCTCTCTCTCTCTCTCTCTCTCTACCGCTCCTCTCACTCTCGATTCCCTCTCTCTTTCCTCTCTCACTTTCTCTCCGCTCTCATTCATATTTCACACTGTTTCCGCTTTAACTGGAATTATTACTTACATATGAGTAGATACAAAGAGTGATGAACAGAGATAGATAGATAGATAGATAGATAGATAGATAGATAGATAGTGAACAGAAGGAGATAGATAGATAGATAGATAGATAGATAGATAGATAGATAGATAGATAGATATGAATAGGTGGAGATAGATAATGAACAGACTGAGATAGTAAGACAGGTATGAACACACAGACTGTGAGAGATATATAGGGTAACAGACTGAGATAGATAGATAGATAGATAGATAGATAGATAGATAGATAGATAGATAGATAGATAGATGAACAGGCTCAGATAGATAAATATGAACAGATTGATACAGAAAGATAGGTCGGTATGAACAGTGATAGATAGATAGATAGATAGATAGATAGATAGATAGATAGATAGATAGAGAGAGAGAGAGAGAGAGAATGAACAGACTGAGATAGAAAGATAGATATGAACAGAGATAGAGAGTAGAAAGAGAATTATGAACAGATTGAGACAGGTAGATACCCACGCATACATATGTATATCACTACCTTGCATTACCTCTCCCTCCCTCTCTCTCTCTCTCTCTCTCTCTCTCTCTCTCCGTGACCTCTCATCTACTTCTTCATTATCTCCCTTTATTTGGCTGTCGATGTAAATCAAAACCTCGTTGACATAAATTTGCATTCTTAAAACACAAAAAGCAATTACGCACCTAAATGTCGCTATTAGACTTGCAAATGTATAACTTATACAGGCTTCGCTTAAAGACGGCAATTTCAAATTTCAGAATGTTCTTAAAACAGTTCGAAAGAGACGCGAGGTAAAGAAACGGCCAAGAAGGAAGCAGCCAATGTTAAAATGGTAGACTGACGGTACGAAGAATATTAAAATCTACAACGCAAAATGGACCAAAACATGGGTAGTCAAGGCGTATTCTTTCTTCTCAAAGACGACAATAATACAAACAATTTCAATAGCAGGATTAATAATTCTTCTACTGTTGTCCTCATCTTCATTTCGTAGCTATCTTCTCGACTCTAACTTCTTTGTACTTTATATTAACGTTCTGCCTTAGAACATTAGAATATATATATATATATATATATATATATATATATATATATATATATGATAAAAATATGATTTTAAGGTATGCTATATTTATGAGTAAAAGTGCTCAATATCAGAGACAGAGCGAATGTAAATATAAAAAAGACTGACGTCAACACCAAACGGACACAGCTTGTTTTATGCTTCAGTGCAGTCTTCAGTCCAGAAAATGGCATGAAAACTGCGTTGAAGCATGAAACAGGCTGTTGCCGCTTGGCGTTGACCTCAGTGTCCACTTGTGCTCATGTGTGTGTGTGCATTCGTTAATTAAACGTAACAAAAATGTGTTTAAGATCGAATCAACGTTATACATCCGCATGTAACTAGAATGGAAATCAATCAATTTGCACAAGCCTGCTTTGGATATAAATTTCATTTAAATAAGCACATCTCTACAAAATAGAAATATATATATATATATATACTCCAACAGCTTCTTATCTCGCACTTCCCGCCAATGGAACTCCTTTCTCTTACTTGCTTCCCTGATAGTTATAATCTTCAAATATTTAAATGTAATGCCAATCGATATCTTCTGATGCCCTGTCCTTCTCTTTATTCTTTTCCCCAAACACTCCTCTTTACTCTAGACTGAATTGGTGTCAGTCAGAGATTCTACCACTAAGCCGTCGGCGCACGACAGGGATAAAGGTGAATTTTAGCCTATTTATTTTTAGATAAACACACAGTGACTGAGAGGACTCGATTCGCTTTACCAAAGAGTCATTGCTATATATATATATATATATATATATATATATATATATATATAATGAAAATATGGTTATAGTTGCTATATTTATAAGTAAAAGTGCTTAATATCAGTCACATCATCAGTGCGCATTCTATAATTGATTAAGTAAATTGATATGCAATGTTGGTCTTTTGTAAGACGCTAGTTGACGGAGAAAAGTTGTTATGGATGACTAGGTTGGTTATATTAAATACATCACTGCTTCATCAAGATAATAATGAGCAAAACTTAAAATTCTGGAATCCCTTTATATAAAAGAATTACAACCAAAAATAAATAAATTCATTACGAGTATAGCGACAAAGTTCGTAAATGTCTGTCGCAGCAGAGTGTTATATAAAAAATACTAAATTAAAATACTACAATTAAAAATTTTTTTTAAAATCTTTTTAAAAATGACATAAGTTACCTCCCTTGCATAGAGGTAAAAAAATATTTTGAATTTACGGTGTTACATATGCAACCACTGAAGATGGTCTCAGATGAGACTGAAAGTACTGGGACAATTATTTAGAGGAAAATTTTGGAATTTTTCTTAATCAGTTTTCTATAGACCCCAAGAAATTAATTCGTGGACTTGAAAGGATTAGAACTAAAATATATAGACATAATATGTCTAAATTATTTAACCAAACATGCTTGAATATATATATATATGTGTGTGTGTGTGTGTTTTGTGTGTGTATATGTATATATATACACACACACACACACATATATATATATATATATATATATATATATGTGTGTGTGTGTGTATATATATATATATGTGTGTGTGTGTGTGTGTGTATATATCAGGTAACACGATTTATGGTTTCACTTTCTAAAATCTACATAAAATGAGGCTGATAGCTGATTTTTGATCTGATCTCGTTCTAACAGCTCAATAGAGGGAGACTGGCTTGTAACATTCAATACCACTAAAATCAAGCTAATAACGCGTCATCGCCGAATACCCACGTGTCATGATGAACGGTTGTACTCTCAATAAGGCCCCTTGAACGCCGAGTAGAACAAGCTCAAGTGGATCTCGTGCCTGAAAAGATATTGGAAGAATTCCCTGTTCCTTGTACGGCTCCAGAAGTTTTCTGACACCAGCTGCCATACTCAATTTTTACAAGTGACCTGAAATGGAGTATTACTGCCATATCAGGACTGGAGCTGCCAAATCCCCATTTTTCAGGATTGATTTCAAAAGCGCGCACGCGGCTATGTGGGTGATGAATTATTTTCCTTCCTGCAATCCCTTTCTCACCGATAAAATGCTGCTAGACACTTCCTATTCTATCACAATTTTCATGACAAATTCTGTGAGTAGCTAAGTTCACTAGTTCAAACCTTCACAACTAAGACCAGCCATGCCACGTACACAGGGTCGGCTCATACTCTTTCCCTACGTGTTCCATTGGTAAGGAAGAAGTTCAGCTCAGCTTCTTCCCAACAACTGCTACCGAGAGGATCCCCAATCACTACGATCTTAACCCATCTAGGATCAACCGTTATCTATGCTACAACCTTGTGCAAATTAATTGAAACTGTTGTAGGGTTCTCCCCTTTTTACATAAGATGGACTCGTCCAAAGTATATTTATACTGACAGAGAGAATACCTGCTGTTGAGATCCGTCTCGATACAGTCCTTGACTGTTAGCGACGCCTGTCAAACTCTCTGCTAACGCAGAGAGGAACCTGGACGAAGCTTTGCCGAAGGGCAAGGTTTCGTCCGGGGAGGTAGACAGGGCCTGAACCCGTCTAGGTGGGTTCAAGGGCTATATTTTTGGCCGAGCCTACGGGCTCGGAGAAACCCACATTCAACTCGGCCTTGTGCCACATTCAATCCTCGTGAGGGGATCGATAAATACTGAGATACGTCGCGATACAGTCTCGACGTCTGTCGAACTCTCTGCTTTGCCAGAGAGGAACCCGGATGAAGCTTTGCCGATGGGCAACGTTTTCGTCCGGGGAGGTAGACAGGCCCTGAACCCGTCTAGGCTCGTTCAAAGGGTATATTTTTTACCGAGCCTACGGGCTCGGAGAAACCCACTTTAAACTCGGCCTTGTGCCACATATCTTCCTCGTGGATGGGATATTAAATACCGAGATACGTTGAGAGATACGGAGACAGACACAAGGTGTTCTCAGAGAGTTATACAAAAGTCCAGAGAGAGAGATGATCACGGCTTTACTTACAGAGACTTGTACATATACTTTCTACTAACCCGCATTCCTGGACTACTAATCTTCACCTCAAGTCTGTATTCTTACGTTAAATACACTTCTTTTTCTATCTCAATTACTGGCGTTGTTTATTTATTTGTGCAGGATTCCATCCACGGAATCCACAACAGAAACAAAACCAATAATTCCGTTCTTATTTACTTTTTCGTATTTTTCCAATGAAACATGACCCAGTGCACATGTCAGTACTTCATATGTCCATTCCACGAAATCGTTTTTTGCAGATTGACCACAGATTCTCGGTTTGATTTAAATCTCAGTGAATGACTAATCTTACCCTGTCGTGTCTGTTTTGATATCTCCATTAGGTTAGCTTGGTGTATTTAATTATTATACTATTTTTAGTCACATTTCTTTCTCTATTCTCTACATCGAGGACATATACCTTTCTGTATTTTATCAGTTTTTGCCGGTTTTAGTTAGTTCGAGTTTATTCGTTCATTGTTTTAGCCTCACTGTTTTCCTCTACACATGATCAGCCATACCTAACTTCGGAGTCTCTCAACGGAATACAGTTTTAAGTGTTCTTCCATTCTTATTCTTAGAAGCAGCATCACAGCGAATTAACCGAAAAGCATTACTTAACTCCCCGTCAGTGGACTGAAGAAAGGGTTTGAAATTCCAAGAAAGTTACCGAATACGTAAGACACCTGAAGAAGGTCGGAGAGTATAGCGAACAAAACGTTGTGACTAAAATAACCCAGAAGAGAGCACCTATTTTAATAAACTAATTTTTAAGAAAAAAGAAGACATTCTCATACAACACATTCACCATGCGTCCCTCACATACTGGCGCCACGTATTGTTTGCATAAATCACTAGTGATGGAGATGTTATGCCTCTTTATCTTCCCCATAGACTCAACACGAAGGCTTGCATCAAGTGCCTTGAGGAGGTAGTACCACTCTGGGTCAAGAGGGTGGCTGCTGGTAGACCCTATGTCTGGAAATAGGTCTCTGCACCATGCTGCACAAGCAGGAGAACCCAGTCATGGCTGTCAGACAATTTCTACGACAGCATCACCACTTACATACGGCCAACTAACTCCCCAAACTGCACCGCTTTGATTATTATGTGTGGGGTGCTTTTGGACGAGAGACCAACAAAACTCGTTGTAGCACCAAAGATGAACTAAAGGCAAGAATTATGGCAGCATTTACCAACTTAAACAAGGAGACCGTCCTGAAAAGTTGCAGAAGATTCGTTTGGAGGCCGTGGTTGAAGACTATAGCGATTTTAATATTCCTTTACATGTTTTTTGTGAAATTTTGGTAAATATATCTGTTAAAATAAGATCTTGTTATTTTCATTTTTGCGCCAATTAGGCGGCAATTTATCCATCTGACCCTGTACATGTCTCTACAGAAGGATACTGAGAATACCAAGAAACGCACTGAGGAAAGAAGATGCTGAAAAAATGACACTGACATGACATAACGAAGTCTAGAGGGGTCAAGAGAAACAGTGAGTAACCTATGTAACAAGCTTGGCAGAACAGGGACCGTGCAACATAGTAAAAAGATAAATATTGCATGAAGCTACAAGTGAGAGGAAGTCGTAGAGGGCTATGACCCTGAAGGGATGC